TGCTGACTTTGAGAGTTGGTTTGTGAGAGCTTGGAGTTGGTATGTTGAGCTTCAAAGTGCCACCTTTGTGAAGAAAAGAGTCTTCTGTTGTGCATTTTCGTGGCCCTTTGGTTGCTGCACAGTGGAGTGGTGTAGGAAGCTCCATTTCCATGCCATTCTCTGTTTTGAGAAGCTTGGTAAACATACTCAAGCTTTGATCATGAGTTATTGGTTAAAAATGGAACCTTGATGCATGTAATGAGCTAAAAATGATAACCAAACGTTGGGTAATGCTTAATACACTTAGAAATTCATGTTTAAGCTTCTGTAATTGGTAAAAGTTAGACCTTTGGTTTGGATTTTCGCGAAATGCAGAATCTGGGTTCTGTCGCGAAATATCCGGATATTTGGTTGTGAATATCCGGATATGGGGTTTTCTGATATCCGAATATGGATATCCGGATATGTCCCTGACATATATCCGGATATTCTGGGTTTTCGATGAACATTAAGGTGCTTTTCATATAGAGGTCTTGTATGGGTTTGTGGACCCTAGTTTGATGAAGTGGTACTTCTGTGATAATTATCTAAGTCAGAACCTAAGTGTTTTAGGGCTTGGGACTTTGTGAGAAGCCTAAAGACGTAAACTGTAAAAGGAAAACGTAGTCTTTATGTTTATGCATATGAGCTGTGTTTATTGATATAATTATTGGTTCAAACAGATTGTGATTGTACTGTTGTGGACGTTGAGTCGTGTGGACTCTTGGCATTGGATTGTGAGCTTGCAAGGTAAGCTTTCGTGTCCTCGGTTTAGCCATGTTGTGGTTCCACCATGTCCCATGGGGGTATGGTTATATGCATGCTGTGTTACATGCTTTTGATGCTTTGGAAGTGCTGTTGAGCTGTTATATGCTAGTGCCTTTATGATATGCATGTGGTGTTCCACCTATACGGTAAGCCTAAGTATGTAGTACATACAATATGGTGAGGCTGTGGGTGAGGTGCAAGCGGTGTTTCTTGTACTACATGTGGGTGATAGACGTATTCCTGCATTTCTCTGGCCAGTAGAATAGTTAAACACACATGGTATGAATATTTGTTGCACTGCATTGAGTTTTGGAACTTATATTGAATTACTGATTTTGTAACTTATATTGCACATGTAAGTGAGCTTGGGGTGGAAGATCCTTGAGGACCCATTGTCTTACTGAGATTTTTGGTTTAGAGATCTCACCCCACATTTGGGGAATGCTTATTTCAGGTTCATGTAATGCGGGGGTTGAGACCTCTAGTGGCAGGAGGCCAGAGCTTAGCTGATAGATATTACATGTTTATGCTGATATGCCGTTATGATTGGATGTTGGATCCTATTTATTGTCTTATGCTTTTAGCTTCAGTTTATGGATTCCTCTGTTGAGACTCTGTGGTTATGCTGTTGATTTGGTGAACATGGGGATTGTCCATGCCACATAGACTTTATTATGTCTTATTTTTTAGGAGTTGTAATAATGTATCAAGATACTGTCCGGACTACTTGTTGTAGATTCATGATTTTAGATACTCACTTTATCTATATTATGAGGTATTTCAGTTAGATGTCTTTTTGCAATTTACGTACAGGCGATATTTTATGGAATTGATTAAGTAATCAACTTGGCTAAGTATAATGATGTCATAATTGAAAAGAAAAAGATATTCTGCATTTTTAATTAAGCGCAGCTTAATACGATGATATGTTAACAAACCGAGTATACACAGGATGTTACAAGAGGTATTCTCAAACCTCATCAACAATGGTGGTTCTCTCAGACTTCTCTAAAGAAGTCTCTCACTCAAATTTTTCTATAGAGAAAACTCTTACAATTGACTATCCAAAGCTCTTCACAACGGGAATAGATCCTCTCATATGGAAAAATGGTTATGTGGTCATGTTATTTGATCATAACCATTCATTGATGATGAAATAAGAGAGAGAAAAATATATAATTTTTAAATGAGTGATTATGATCAAATAACATAACCACATAACCACTTTTACACGTAAGAGGATCCATCCCCCTTCTATAATTGTTCTTCTCGGGCTGGAGAAAACCGTAAACCTTATTCAATAATCTTCATCAATCATAGAGTGACAGAGTATTTATTGAGGTGATTGAAATCAGACATTGCCCATGAAGTGGATGCTCAGCCATCATAGCCGACAGCATTAAAGGAGAAATAGTGAACGCACCCAACAAAAATTTCGTCAAAATTTATCAATATGAGATTCGTGGAATGAAAATAGATAATACCGATCGTTTAACCTCCAATTTATAGAACCAAAAGTAAACAACTCACAGATTCTTTATTTTATTTTACCGATCTCAGAGTAGGGTAAACCTCAAATCAATACGGTCGATGTTGGGAAACAGCTTAATTTTGGGTACATGCAAAGAAAGATTTAACGAGAAGAAGAAAATTGAGGTATATTTTGGAGACTTTGGATCAATAATCAATGACCATATTAATATCCGTGGAATATTTGGCCTTTAAAATGAGTGAAAGTCAAGAAAAGAAAGGAAAACAGACAAAGAGGAAAATAAAATATCCCTTATTACTATTAGGTTCTTAGGATTCGTTTGCTTGAGAGATCGAACAATGAGTGTATCAATTATAGGATAAGTAATGGGTTGGTACTTGGTAGAATACAGCTATGGTTTGAGACACAAATTATTGACGAAATGGCAACTAGAACTAGGGTGTGAAAAAAGGTTGTAATAACAGGTGCATGTAATGTTAGGCCTGTTTTAACAAATTTACGTGAATTGAAGCCACAGTTTTTTTTTTTTTTTTTAATCATTTAACACACCAAGGAAATGACACAAATTTCAAGGTAATGTTATTTATACACTCAAATTTATATACTTTTCCCTTACTCTTTTTTCTTTTTGAAAAAAAAAAAAAAAAAACTCAAACTACTCTTACCTCCTTTTTTTTTATCTTTTTTTTCGAAAAATCATAAATGTAAAAAAAAGTGCATATATTATAGGTGTAGATGTATCATCATTTAAAACTTTATTTCATTGGTACACAGAATAATCCATATCAACCAAATTTATTTCTCACTCCCTAATATAATAACACGACTTACCCTGGTTAATACTTGGGCTTTAGAGAGAGATATATATATATATATATATATATATATATATATATATATATATATATATATATATATATATATATATATATATATAGGGATAGGATCAACTTACACCGGTGTAAGAATAATAAATCTTACACCAAATCTTAACCGTTGATTTCCGTGCATCTAACGGTTGAGATTTATTGGGAATTAAAAATTAATTAATGAGTGACACCTAATAAATCTTAACCGCTAGATGCAGAAAATCAATGGTTAAGATTTGGTGTAAGACGTATTATTCTTACACCGGTGTAAGATGATCCTGCCCCATATATATATATATATATATCCTGAAATGGAATATGTAATATTTGAGATTGCAGTAAAGAATACTATATGTAATATTTATTTTCATCACAAGATTACCTAGTGCAACGCTGCATCCCAAATCAAAATTGGGACATGGCAGAAGGATCCATCAAAATATAATGATTTTGTCAAGTGCTGTTTCAAAAGTAGCTTTGGAAATATTAGGAATAGTTTTCTGGGCTTTACTTCTCTGATATAGTAGAAGATAAGTTATTTTAGAGGAGGGGACTGAACCTTTAGTCATCACTGTTCCCCCGCACTCCGGATTAGTCCCATAGCCGGCTCAAAGAGTCGAAGCTCGTGGGGATACCGGAGGGAGCCAACTCGTCTCAAAAAGATAATTAGGGTTGAGTAACTCCAAAAAAAGATAAGTTATCTTATGTTATGAGATAAATAAAATGAAGTCCATCAATTTATTTTTTTAAAAAAATATCATTTTATGTAAATATAATATGAGAAATGAATCTCATGTAACATGAAAGTAAAATTTCCCTTCCTGAAATCCAGTTAGAAAATTGGAAAAGTATATCCTATATGACCCTAACTTATGATCAGCTTTCATTGACACTTGTGATTCCCTTCATTGCACTGTTTTTGGTCAAAAAAACTCAAAACTTTTTGGTGGGCCTAAAAAATGCTTACAAAGTCCTAGAGAGGAGAACGGACAAGACAAACAGCACTTTCACTGCTGAATTTACCGCATAATCCCATGTACGTGATAAGAATGGAACTTGATTTTATATTTCTTGCTGATAAAGTAATTTATCAACCAAAAAGTAGCACAAAGTGATTTTCTTAATCTCAAACCTCTTAAAAGATGAAAAAGCAAAAGCTTGCCTTTTATAAAACGTTACTCTAATATCGAAGCAAGCCAAAGACCTTTTCTATGGTTTTTTGACTATAACTTTTGGTTTCTACATACTTAAAAATATAAGAAATTTATGTCAAGAAAAAAGAAAAAAATAATATACATTCCACACATTATAACAGAAATTAAATATTATTGAAAAAAAATCACATATATTCATGAAGCCAACATCCCGCCTTGATAAAACTTAATGAGTCGGAGTCCAATCAAATCATAACGCTTGAGTAGGTAGGAATAAGTTGAAAGAGTTACACCAATTATAGCTTTTGGTATAATAACAAGGGAATTAGTGTTTCTTATATTTCCTGTACACTTAAAAATGTGTGAAACTTATATTTTCTTTTTCTTATCTTCATATGACTCCCACATGAATCTCACATATTTTTATATGTGTATAAAAAATAAAATTATCTCTTACAAGAGAAGAAATATTAATCCCAATAATAAGGGCTCCATCAACACTAATTAGTATCAAAACCGATATGACGGGTTGAATTTTCCGAAATGACGATTTGTGGAGAGTAAGAGTGGAAAACAAACTCATAAACAACTAGGATAATTATTTGTCCTATATATGTAAATATATTAATACAACATGTGACATCACTTTTCTAAGTCTAGCAAAATTCATATTGTTGATATAATAATAATATAACTTACTTAACATACATTGGGTCCAAATCCCACAAAACCATTAGCTCCATCAATTGAAATCTGGATCCCTTCTTGCTGAATGTTCCCTATTATGGAAAGCCCAGAATTAGAATCAGCAAATGCAAAACAAAAAGTTCCCACATCATCTGCTGGAATCAAATAGTTTCTCGCGGGGAGGGTCAATATTTGCCCACCCGAAAAATAAAACGACACGGTCGGAACCCGAACCGAAACAAACCCGTTTAAATCATAGCAAGTGTCGAAAATGGATACTCCGGATTCAAGGCGGGGCAGGTTTGTTGTCTGAGCGATAAAAGCATCACGGAACGCGACATAAGCCACCGTGGGAAACCGCGTAACGGCAGTTCCGGTGTCCATGACAACCCCTCCGTCACCGGAATCAGTTACCCGAAAAACATCTTCGGATATATTGACCCGCAAGCCTCCGACTCCAAGACCCGCAAGCCCGACATAATAAAAGCTGGGGAAAAGTGGGTTATGAATGAGAGGGACCCATATAGCACCAACGGGCATTGCTTGGCGTCCGAATTGGATTGACCCGGATGAAGAAACGGTGCCCCGAGTGATTAAACAGTAACCAAACGCACCACCAGTTTGGTCACCTAATTGGCCCACAAATGACATGGGCCCATTTCCAAGGCCCAAAAGCCCAGCTGCTCCAACAAACATTCCCTGATTCGAATGACCGCACCCGATCGCGGTCTTTCGGATCAGGGTTGGCCCGAACGTGAGTGTTTCGAATGCGAGTGTCCCTTCGGTGTATGAGCCGTCGCCGTAAGAAACCTCGTAGCGACACCTTCCTTGGTGGCACGCGGCGTTGTTGTCGAGTTGGTTGCAGACGGTGGAGGAGCAGGAAACTCCGGCGAATGAAGCGGATTGGGTCGGGTTAAAAATCGGGTCGGATTGGTTGTAACATTGATTGCAAGGTTGGCACTGAACCCAGAGAATGTCACTGCCTGAGTCAATAACCATGTATTGATAAGTTGGAGGGGTGCCAACACCTATTCTAACGAAGTATTCTCCACTTCCTTGATCCGTACCCGATACTATACCCGACCCGAAAGCATCTTGTGGGTGGTAGTTGTTGTTGTTAATGTTGTTGTTGAGGCGGTGAAGGATGGAGGATACCCTTTTAATGTCTCGTTTGATTCGTGCGTTGAAACGGGTTTTGTGGTCGTTGGGAACTGTGGTGGTGGTGATCTTGTCTCTGTGAATGAGGTGAAGTTTCCATTTTGGTTCTTCATCTTGTTGTTGTTGGTGTGGTTGTTTGGGGATTTGAGAAGGGTTGAGTTTGGTGGATGAGAGTGTTTCGTAGACGTTGAATTGGTGGAAATGAGAAGGTGAAGTTGATGTGGTTAGAAGTGGAAGGATCAACAACAGCAGTGGCACTATGGCCATGGTTGTTGATGAGTTAGAGAGGATGTAAGGGGGTGAAGTGAATGTATTGATTTTATTTTTTCCTTATTATTTATTATTATTTGGATGAATGTGTAGAGGTGAAAAGGTTCATCTTGCGAGGAGAGAGAAAGAGGAGAGGGCTGTGATTTTAAATAATTGAATCTTGGAATCATTTGTTAGTCAAAATTGGCTTTATGACCTTGCTAGAAAACCTTGGATCAAGTACATCTATATCAAAAAGAAAAAAAAAAATTAGGACTTGAAAAAAATTATAAATGAAAGTATAGATTAAAATGAAAAAAAAAATTATTTTAGTAAAAGTCATTTATATGTGATTTGTGTAAAAATCAAAATGCACATATCACATATCGTGCTTGATAAGATAGATATGGGGACGTGAATGACTTGAATTTGAACATGCATTATTACGATGCACAACTTGCATTGTGTTGACTTTTATACAAATCATGCATATTTGACTTAAATGCTTATATATATATATATATATATATATTTTATTCGTATTAAATTAATAAATAATTTGTTAAAAAAATTAAACCATATTTTTGCATTGTATCGGTCAGAAAAGACCAGAAAATCGATCCCCTTGTATTGTGTTCATATGAAAGATTTTAATTATTAATTTACATATTAAGGTTCACATCAATATGGTCACAATTTGAATAAAAGAATTCGAGTAAAATAAGAAAATAAGAAATTAATTTTTAACTGTTAATATATGAATAAATAATTGAAATCTTATGCATGATATTATGATGTTAAAACAATCCAATCCATTCCTTTATTAATATATCTCATTCTAATCGATTAATGTATGTTAGTTTGAGGTAGTCGACGACTTGTGCTTGTGGTGAAGTGCAGCACAATTGAATTAGACTGATCTCGTAAATAGTGCTGCTTGCTAGATAAAGTGTATCTGTCTGTCACCAATAATTCATTTTTACTTTTGAGGCATCTTCCTCGCTAAGTCAGAATTACTGTTCTATAACTATTATTCAATAATTCTTTATTCAATAATTTTATTTTAATTTTACTATTAAATTAAAAATTATATCATATAAATCATATTTATAAATTATTTAAAAAAATTAAATTACTTAGTCTTTTTATTTATATATTTAATTTAAAATAATATATATTTTTAAAAAATATTAAAATAAAATTTTTATTATATTAATATTGAAAAATATTATTATTTACTTTTTCCAAGATTTCACATAAATAATTAAGATAATAAATTATTACACTTTAACAGTTGGATAAATAACAAACACATTTTATAAGAATATTATGTCTTATTTACACGAGTGAAAATGATATTTAACATAATCATGTAATATGAAAAGATTATACTCATACATGAGTAAATCAATAGTGACGAGAAAAAAAAATTAAGATATAAAATAATAAAATCATCACCACTAATTTACTCATAAATAATCTCTCATATAACATGATTAAATAAGAAATGATCTATTTTCCTTATTTACACTGTGTAAATAATTTGCTACTTTTTATTTTTTTGTCTTTTACTTAATTGGTCTAATACTTGAACCAGTTTAGTTCGGATTATCCAGCCAGAGACCGGTCGGAGAGCAGGTTATCATTACACTTTTATTTAAACAAAAACAAATTAAATGTTCTGTCTTTCATTGAATCAATGTAATATACATTTTCGTCTAATTTTTGCATGCTTTACAGAAAAGAAGCCCTCACCCGGCACCCATTTGATTATGTCTCTATTCAATTTCTCAGCAATAGGAACAAAAAGCATAACTAAGAATACCTTATTGGGTTTCAACAAAGGGTTTTATAAGAGTTATGTTGTAAAAAAAAATGATTGTGTTATATTATAGAGATTCGTTTTACGTGTCAGAGGATTTTTTTTTTTTTGATTTCAAAAATTACGGGTCCCATAAAATGTTATGTGTGTAGAAAAATTGTTGTGGTCATGTTAAATGATAGATGCAAAACTCTTCAACAAATAAAGAAAGTGTGATTTCACACTTTGTCTTGATTGTATTTAGTTTTGCTTGCATGGTCAAAGTAAATTTCCTTGTCAGATCTGAAAAGATATTAGGGTCCAACAAAGATACTACCATGTCTTATGTGTTATATAATACAATATTATTCAATCTCTTGCAAAAGCGAAAAAGGCTATATCAATAAATAACCCTATAATATGCGGCAATAAAAGCCTTATAAGTGGAATTTATAAAAATATATATTCTGATGCAAATTATCTGTATCTATTAAATTAAGTTGATGTAATGTACACTACATGTCTAATTGCATGAAGAGTACAAGAATGTGAAACTATGCCTATGTTCGGTGGGGATTTTTTGGGTACTTTCGGTGGAGAGATGTTTTTAATAGGAATGAGTTGTTGTGGAATACATGTTAAAGTTGTCCATCAATGATTGAAAAAGCAAAACAAAAAGCGGATTTCCGCATTCATTTGTTGGACACTTTATGGTCTATGTCTCTATGATGCCCTCGTGCAAAAACATCACTGTTCTTTTCCCTTGTTTTTGTTTCTTTGGTTGTGACCCCCCTCCCCCCTCCCCTCTCTCTTTCTATACTATTACTAAGAAGAATTTGGGAACACCTTTTGACTAGGATATGCTATTCACTTTACGGGTTTGCCTCTTTTCTAAAATAACTAATGGATTTGATTTTCCTTATGTTGCATGAGATAATTTATCTCATATAACATATAAAAGTAGATAGAACTCACTTTGAAGAAGAGACAAAAAAGAAAAAGAAAGGTCTCATTCACTTTTTTATGTGTTGCATGAGACAAACTATCTCATGTAACATAATAAACACATTTCCCATAACTAATATGATAAAAGAAATCTTAGTTGGTGTCAGAATAAGTAATATATATATATATATATATATATATATGAGACATGTTATATTCACAAACTTTTTTATTTTATAAATTCTTACAAACTACACTATCTTCTTCCGGGAGAACATTAGAAAATAGTGTAATTTATAAAAATTTGTAAACGGATCCTCCCATATATATATATATATATATATATATATATATATATATATATATATATATACTACACTATCTTCTTCCGGGAGAACACTGGTTTCACTATGTTCTCCCGGGAGAAAATAGTGTAATTTGTAAAAATTTGTAAACGGATCCTCCCATATATATATATATATATATATATATATATATATATATATGGGCTTATCGTTTCTCAAGCTGCTTGAGATAACGTTATCTCCGGCCACTAAATCATAATCGTACAAAGATGGATCAATGGTGATAAAGAAAGAGAGAGAAAAAAGGAATTATAACCATTCAAAGTTGAATCAATTAATATAAGGGAATAAATAAACAAAACGACGTAGTTTTGGAGTTGCCGGAGATAAACTTGTGTAAGTTGCCGGAGAAATGTTTTTCCCTATATATATATATATACATGGGTTCGATTTTTCTACAGTCAATGTAGATAACTTATCTACAATGAGTCCAAAACGACGTTGTTTTGAGAAGTAAATTAAGGTATTTTTGTAATTATAATTTATTTCAGGGTTATAATAGTATTTTTCATTGTAATTTTTTAATTTTTTAACCTAAAACGACGTCGTTTTGAGAGCGAATGTAGATAACTTATCTTCATTCACTTTAGAAACATTAAAGCTTATATATATATATATATATATATATATATATATATATATATATATATATATGTATTATTAATCTCATGTTAAGGGAGACAAGTTGTCTCATGTCATTGAGACAAATATGTTGGCCCCACTGTTTGTTAAAAAATAAAAATAAATTCAAGGGACCCACCTTTTTCTTTGTGTAAGAGAGAAAAATTGTCTCCTTTAACATAAGAAAATATTTTCCATATATATATATATATATATATATTTATGTATATATATATATATATATAAGGAAGTTTATACTTACAACCTTTTTTTTACAATCTTTTACAACCATATCTTAACACCGTTGATTTCCGTCAATCAACAGTTATTATTTTTGCAAATCAAATTCATTAATTAATTATTAACTCACAATAAATGATCGTCAATCAACGATATTAAGATATATTGTAAGAGGTTGTAAAAAAAAGGTTGAAGTATAAACTTCCTCTCTCTATATATATATATATATATATATATTATTTGAAATCGATTTAGACTCTTTCTTTTTCAAGTTAGAAATTAGTTTTAAATTAAAGTTAAAAAAAAGAGTTTAATAAAAAAAACTAAAAACTGTTTAGTGATTACATAAATTTTTTATACTAAAGGTTAGTCAAAAGCACACATTCAAAAAAAGTCTCTCTCTCTACCATCATCTAAAAGTGTAAAATATATTCATTTTACAAGTAACAAAATTCAAACTTGAATTCACTCGTTTGAAGATCAGACGACTTACTATTAGACCACTTTTATTTGCTGGACATAATGTAAATAATTTAATATTTATTATTTTAAAATCCAATTAAACCCGATTGAACCAATAACCTAGTATCTCAACTAAGTAAATGCTCGGGCCAAATTTTAAAACACCGTCTCTTATCACGAATAATAGATAATAGGAAATATATCTTGTTCTAAAAAAAACTTTAAAAATTGTCCTAAAACAAAGTGGTGTCTCTCTCGTACACACACAACACAAAGTAGCTGGAATAAAATAGGTTCTATAAGTAAAGCGAAGCTTCAAGAGCGGAAGAGTTTGAGTTTTGTTGAGAATATTATTAAATATATCGATTTTATAATGATACCCTTCCAAATGGGAATGCTAAATGGGCTTTGGAAAATTTAAAAGTAAAGAGTCTTGTTATGTGAGTTATTAGCAAAAGTGCAAACTCTTTTATTGTAGCCTTTTTACGAAGTTCATGCTGATTTTTTTCGAAGTTATTTACCATCCGTGCGGGAGTGCATGCATTTTACTATGAACAAAACTCTCTCTTCCTAAGCTTCAAAAA